GAGCATCATGCTTAGGTTTTATTTTAACAAAGTGCACTAATCTCTCAAATTTGACACTTAATGTTAGGTAAGTAAAAACAGTTTATTTGCTTTGGATTGCGATATTTTTAGTTTTAAAAATGAATTTAGAATAATTAAGCTCTTTTAATTAGTTTGCTTATTAGCTTTTTATTTGATATATTTTTCTTTTTCATTTTTATTCTACTATTTTTTTATTTAACTCGTTATTTTATTTTCAACATTTACTTCTTTTATTTATTAGTTTATTTCTTATTATTTCATATTTTTTCTTCTCTAAATAGAACATTCATTATTTAAATATTTTTCTTCAAATATTTTAAAAGTGAGAATAAAATTGGCGATTAGGGTGTATCAGGCTTAGGTAATGCTTTGGAAAATTGCACTAATCTATCAAATTTGACACTTTACCTTAGGTAAAAACAGTTTATTTGTTTTGGATTGTAATATTTTTAGTAAAAAAAATGAATTTTGAACAAAAAAACTCTTTTAATTTGCTTCATATTTGATTTCTTTTTCTTTTTTATTGTACTTCGTTTGTTTTTTCTTCTTCTTAATTTAGCTCATTTTTTTATTTTTGCCATTTGCTTTTATTATTTATTTATTAATTAATTCATTTCTTATTATTTAATATTTTTAAATAACTAATAAATTATATATTTTTTCTTCAATATTTAAAAAGTAGAAATTAAATCGGTGATTAAGGTGGATTAAATTTAGGCTCTGCTTTAACATCTTGCACTAATCTTTCAAATTTAACGCTTATACTTAGGTAAAAACAGTTTATTTGTTTTCGATTGTGATATTTTTAGTTATAGAATTGAAGTTAGAACAATATAACTAACTCTTTTAATTTGTTTATTAGCTTTTAATTTAGTATATTTTTCTTTTTATGTACTTGTGTTTTTTCTTCTTGGATCTTTCTTAATTTAACTCATTTTTAAACATTAATTTTTATTATTTATTTATTTATTTATTCATTAGTTTCTTATTATTTCATATTTTTTCTTCATTTTTTCCTTCTAATTAACTATTTAATGATATATTTTTTCTTCAATATTTAAAAAGTGAGAATTAAGTTAGTGATCAAGGTGCATAAGGCTTAAGCTCTGCTTTATCAAATTGCACTTATCTCTCAAATCTGACACTTTATCTTGGGTAAAAACTAACAGTTTATTTGTTTTAATTGTGATAATTTTAATTATAAATTTGAATTTAAAACAATATAACTAACTATCTCTTTTAATTTGTTTATTATTTTATCTTATTTATTTTGTTTTTCTTATTTATTATGCAAATCTTTTTTTTATTATTAATTTTAATAATAATTTTTAATTAATTAAAAAACTAAAACTATTTAATTTTTTTAAGTATTTTATTTTAATTTAAAAAAATATAAAAGTGAAAACTAAATTGATGAATCAGAATCATTTAAAGTAATAACCAAGTGTCTTAAATTAAAAAGATTAGTTGTCTTTGAAACGGATTTCTATTGATGATTAATTAGTTAGCGGTGAACAAAGAATGAATAAATATTAAATATTTTTAACCTAAAATATGATAGTTACATATAGATAGATAGATAGATTTATTATTTTTTTATATATATGTATATTATATTTATTTTGGTAAGTTAATAAATAAATAGCTTATTAAAAAAATTATTATTATTATTATTATTATTAACAGTTAAAACACAAAATATATATCCATACAAATACAATATATAGATTTTAATTAATAATTTAATAATATTATTAATTAATTAATTATAGTATGATCTTGAAGCCATTTCCTCAATTGTAGTTAAATTTTATTATGAAGTTTCTAAGTTCTTATCATCCTTTGCCCATTAAAATGATTGGGTTATAAACTTTATCTATTAATGAGTTTTATTAACTGAATCATATAAATAAATTAATTGCATAAGAATAAATGTTAGAAGTTAAATTTTGCAATTATTTAAATTATAACTTCAAATTGGATCACAAATATATTTTGTTTGAATGGAAATTTTTAATTTCCAAAACTAGGAACATCTTGATTTTTTAAAGCATTACTTATATATTTATTTACATATTATCAATATGAAATTGTTCTCTTACTTCAAAACAAAAAAAATGGAATTTTAAATCAATATTTCAATTAAATTAAATATAATTGTTTACTAAGTTAAGTTATCTATCTATCTCTCTTTCTGGTTAATAAAAAATATTTAAAAGTAAAAACTTAATAATTGATTTTTTTTTCATGTTTTTTTTAAAAAAAAAGAAATTAAAAGTTGGAGCTACAATCAATATAGAATACATAAAAATATATTTCACAAATTCATATTATTTTTAATATTTGTTAATAATAATCCAAGTGTTTATTTTATTTATAATAAGCAAACAAATAAACAAAAAAGAAAGAAAGTGCATTTCTGATTTCGTAAATTGTGTTGCCTGAATCTAACAAATATTATTTGGCTGGCTCATCACTTTTTAAAAGCAAAAAAATGATTTATATTTTATTATTTTTTAGAAATTTTTTCAATTAAATCAAAATAAAAATTTATTTGTAAAAAGATTAGTTAATTAATTACCTTCTAATATTTTTTTATTAAATCTTGCTTGCTTGTAATAAAAACTTTGAATATGTTTTACCCTATTTATTTTATTCAAAGGTTTATAAGGAAATTTACTTTTCTTATAAATAATTTTACTTTCTATTTTATAAGTAAGTAGATGATAGATATTCATATACTATATACTTGTTTCTTAATAGAATTAATTAATAATTACCAGCTGTTTTAATTAAAACATTTCTTGATTGTATTTCATCCAAATTAATTAAAATATTACAGTCTATTATTATTTTTTATATTTTTATATTCTTTTTAAATCACTCAAATATTTACAATCTAGTTTAGAATTAAAATAGTTAGTTAGTTACTTAGCTACATTTTTTCAATTATTTTCATAACTCTTACTCACTGTTTTCATATTAAAATTAACACTTACTTACTCTACATTATATTATATATTCAATTTTATAAATATTACTATCTATTTCATATATTTTAATAAGATTCTCTCCCTATCAAAAGTATTCTTCTAAAATATTACTCGCTGTATATTCAAAATTAAAATTATTTTCCATATGTTTTATTTATCTTTGGCTATATAATAATTACCATCTGTTTTTCAAAAGTTCATTTAATTCTTTAATTTTTTATTATTATTCAATTTTACTCACTATTTTATATTTAAATTTTGTTTTCATTTCAAAACACATTCTAAGATTTTAATTACTATCTATTTTTAATATCAAAGTTAGTTAATTCAGCATTTATTTACAAACATCAAAAATCATTTAAAATATTAATTACTGTCTATTTTGAATATGAAAGTTAGTTAATTCAGCATTTATTTTATCATCAAAAATCATTCTAAAATATTAATTAATTACTAGCTATTTTTAATATCAAATTTAGTTAATTCAGTATTTATTTTCTCATCAAAAATCATTCTAAAATATTAATTAATTACAAGCTATTTTGAATATGAAAGTTAGTTAATTCAGAATTTATTTTCTCATCAAAAATCATTCTAAAATATTAATTAATTACCCACTATTATGAATATTAAAGTTAATTCAGCATTTATTTTCTCATCGAAAATCATTGCAAAATATTAATTACTATCTATTTGAATATGAAAGTTAGTTAACTCAGCATTTATTTTCTCATCAAAAATCATTCTAAAATATTAATTAATTACCCTCTATTTTGAATATGAAAGTTAGTTATTCAGCATTTATTTTCTCATCAAAAAATCATTCTAAAATATTAATTAATTACTTGCTATTTTGAATATGAAAGTTAGTTAATTCAGAATTTATTTTCTCAAAATATTAATTACTTGCTATTTTGAATATGAAAGTTAATTCAGCATTTATTTTCTCATCAAAAATCATTCAAAAATATTAATTACTTCCTATTTTGAATATCAAAGTAAATTCAGTATTTATTTTCTCATCAAAAATCATTCTAAAATATTAATTACTATCTATTTTAAATTTAAAAGTTAATTGAAAATCTGATGATTCTAAAAAATTTAGAAAAATAACTTTCTATTAAGGATGCAAAAAAATTCGAAGAAGATCTACTATAAGATGATAAAATTACCCGCTTATTGATATAGTAAAGTAAAATATGTTAAATCTTTTAAAAAATAATTATAAAAGTTTACAGTCTATTAGAAATATGAAATATGTTTGATATTTTAATAAATAAAGTAAGGAATATTACTCGCTATTTTAATAAATAAAAATATTGAGATATTTATTATAAATTTTATAACGAAAGTAAGTTACGCTCTGTTTAAAATTAATAGTTAAATTATGGTTTATAAAGTTAGAACAACAAATGATTTATTTTTTCTTTGTTACTTGCTTATTTAAATAAAAAAGAAAATAAATAAATATCTTTTGATATTATTTAGTAAAAAAATTACCCACTGTTTTAAGTTTTAATTTGTATTATTGAATTAGAATTGTATTATATTATCGTTACATTCTATTTTTTTAATTTTATTTATTATTTTGTTGTCTTACTAAGATGATGAGATGTTATTTAAAAAAATTACTGTCTATTTATTATTTATTTTTAATAAAACAAAATATAATAAATATCAAGCCAAGAGGATAACTAGATTGATCATTTATTACTTCTTCCTATTTAAGTCATTTTATTTGAATATTTCAAAATATTAAAATGAAAATTTACCAATCGCTTATTTTAAAATTGAAGATATATATTTTAGAATATTCTGATAAGATATCATTCAATGATTATACTTACTATATTTCAAATGAAATAATTTAGTATTTATTTTAGAGTGCCAAATAACATAAAATTTTTACTTCCTATATAGAATATTTCATTTTCTTCTTATTTAAAGTCATTCAAAAATTTTTACTCACTATTAACGAATATAAATAAATGAATAAGAAAAGTATCAATAGAAAAAAATAAAAGTTTTACTAGCTATTTTGTTGAATTAATTAATGAATGAATATATGTCTATAATAAAGTAAATATTACAATCTGTTTCAAAATTAAAGTGAATTGATTATTTATTGATTATATGATAAAATAAATCTGAAAGCAATACATCATCCTATTAATTAAGAGTCAATTTAAAATTAAAAATCTGATGTGATTAAAGATTATTATTACATCCTATTTTATTTATTCATTTAATATAAGTTTTTCTTTTCTAATATAATTTTATTTACTTCCTTTTAATGTTTTATTCAACTTTTTATAGCCATATTTTTCTTTATCTTAATATTTTACTCATTACTATTATTTAAAGTTTAATTTTAATCTATCTTTGAATAATTTAATGTTCAATTTCAATTTCATTACTCTCTTTTTTTATTTTTAGATTATTTTAATTTCTCTAAAATTAATTAAAAGTTATTTACTTTTTCAGCCAATCTTTCCTTTTTTAAAACAATTTATTTAGCTTGTTTCAATAAGTATACTCACAATATACCATCTATTTTAATTATTTAATGCAATTCATCTTATTTATTCTATTTACTTTCTAAAATTTACTTGCTTTTTTTAAAGTTTTAATTGTTTTTTTTATTATTTTTAATCAAACAAAGATCATATTTACATGCTATTTAAAAAGATATTAATCTATTTATTTGTTATTTTTCAAATCAAAAGATTACTATCTATTTTTTAATATTTATGATACATAATTAAAATTTAAAAATATATGAAGTAAATTAATTCATACCCACTAATTTATAGAATAAACTCATGTTTTCACTATCTGACACTTCTAAATCACAAATATTATATTACATTCTTTTAAAATTTTATATAACTCATTAACTATTGTTTATCTCACGAAAATTATTACATCCTATTGTTCATACTAAATAATTTAAATCAGCAATTTCTAAAAAATAATAATCAAATAATATATATTACTCCCTAATTCATTATTTAGATAATTAATTATTTTTAAATCATTTTTAAATATTTATTACAATCTATTTTTCAATAATATAACTTATTCACCTCTTCCAAATGTATATATGTATGTATGTATATTTTACACACTATTTTAAATATTAAAGTTTATTCTCCATCTATTTTTTTCTCATTTGAAATTCTAAATATTAATTACAAGCTATTTTGAATATAAAAGTTTATTCAGCATTTATTTTCTCATCCATCAAAAATCATTCTAAAATATTAATTACAATCTATTTTTATTATGAAAGTTAGATAATTCAGCATTTATTTTCTCATAAAAAATAATTCTAAAGTATTAATTACTCCCTATTTTGAAAATGTAATTTAATTCAGCATTTATTTTCTCATCAAAAATCATTCTAAAATATTAATTACCTCCTATTTTAAATATGAAAGTTAATTCAGCATTTTTTTTCTCATCAAAAATCATTGCAAAATATTAATTACTTCCTATTTTGAATATGAAATTTATTTCAGCATTTTTTTTCTCATCAAAAATCATTCTAAAATATTAATTACTCACTATATTGAAAATGAAATGTAATTCAGCATTTATTTTCTCATCAAAAATCATTCTAAAATATTAATTACGTGCTATTTTGAATATGAAAGTTAGTTAATTTAGCATTAATTTTCTCATCAAAAATCATTCTAAAATATTAATTAATTACCCACTATTTTGAATATGAAAGTTAGTTAATTCAGCATTTATTTTCTCATCCATCAAAAATCATTCTAAAATATTAATTACTCACTATTTTGAATATGAAATGTAATTCAGCATTTATTTTCTCATCAAAAATCATTCTAAAATATTAATTAATTACAAGCTATTTTGAATATGAAAGTTAGTTAATTCAGCATTTATTTTCTCATCTAAAATCATTCTAAAATATTAATTAATTACTCCCTATTTTGAATATGAAATTTAATTTAGCATTTATTTTGTCATCAAAAATCATTCTAAAATATTAATTACCCACTATTTTGAATATGAAAGTGAATTCAGCATTTATTTTCTCATCAAAAATCATTCTAAAATATTAATTAATTACAAGCTAATTTGAATATGAAAGTTAATTAATTCAGCATTTATTTTCTCATCAAAAATCATTCTAAAATATTAATTACTAGCTATTTTGAATATGAAAGTTAGTTAATTCAGCATTTAATTTCTCTTCAAAAATCATTCTAAAATATTAATTACCTGCTATTTAAAAAATTAAATTTAATTCAGCATTTATTTTCTCATCAAAAATCATTGCAAAATATTAATTACAAGCTATTTTGATTATGAAAGTTAATTCAGCATTTATTTTCTCTTCAAAAATCATTTTAAAATATTAATTACTGTCTATTTTGAGTATGAAAGTTAGTTAATTCAGCATTTATTTTCTCATCAAAAATCATTCTAAAATATTAATTAATTACGTGCTATTTTGAATATAAAAGTTATTTAATTCAGCATTTATTTTCCCATCAAAAATCATTCTAAAATATTAATTACTATCTATTTTGAATATGAAAGTTAGTTAATTCAGCATTTATTTTTTCATCAAAAATCATTCTAAAATATTAATTACTCTCTATTTTGAATATGAAAATTAGTTAATTCAGCATTTATTTTCTCATCCATTAAATATCATTCTAAAATATGAATTACTATCTATTTTGATTATGAAAATTAGTTAATTCAGGATTTATTTTCTCATCAAAAATCATTCTAAAATATTAATTAATTACTTGCTATTTTGAATATGAAAGTTAATTCAGCATTTATTTTTTCATCAAAAATCATTCTAAAATATTAATTAATACCGTCTATTTTGAATATGAAAGTTAATTTGAGCATTATGTGATAAAAACTTTACATGCTATTTTTAATATAAAAGTAAATTTAGTCTTTTTTATGGAAAGGACGAGTGATTACAATCTATATTAGAGAAAGAGATGAATTAAGTAATATCTATAGATAAAAATGCAACCCTCTAAAATAATGTGATTATGAATTTATTAAGATCATGACTTTCAAAGTAATTTACTTCCTTTTAAATAAAAAAATTTTAGATATCTTGAAATTGACTAAATAAATAAATAAAATTACTTCTTTGTTAGTGTGCTAAAATAGGTTAAGATAATTTAAAAAAGGAGTAAGAATAATTAAAGAGCAATAAATATATTTTTTATTGAAATATGAAATTAAATTAATAATAATAATTTTTGAAGTAAACAGATGAAATGTTTTTACTTTCTTTTTCATAATAGTTTTGTTAGTTTCTTTTAAGAATTTATTTTTTGAATTTACATTTAGTTTTCTTCTTTTGGCAATTCATCTTTGTTTTCCTATTTTTTAACTTCTTCAAAAATAACATGTTACTCATCCTTCATTGGCATCATCATATTCTAAGGTTTATTTATTAACTGATTTTAAGATTATTATAATTGGATGAATAAATCTTTTATTTTTTTTTCTTATTCATTAATTTTTTATTTTAGTTAGAGATTTTTTTTCTATAATTCTTCTATTTCTGCCTCCTTTTTTACAAATTATTTTGAATATTTGAGGATATTTTGAATGAAATATGTTAATTAATTCACATATTATATTTTTTGATGGTCTTCATTTAACTTTTAGTTTAAGGTCTGTTCGTTTTTACTTTAAAATATTTAACAAAAGAGGTAAATTAGAATAAACAAATAAATATACATGATTGGGTAAAACTTATTTGGAAAATCTCTAACAAACTCAATTTAATTTGTGAGTGAATTTGTGAACTGCTGGGTGTTTCCATCAATCATCTCAATAAGCATCTCATCTAACTAAAATTCAAAAGAAATAATTCCCTTTAAAATAATTAAAGCCTCCTTAATAGGCATTCTATTCTTTGGAACAAAATTAGTTAATCCTTCAATAATATATTTAAGCTATTTGTGATAAACAAAATTTTAAAATTCATCATCATATATTAATTCTTTGTGCTTATTTGATACTAAATTATAATTTATTCCTTAGACGAACGTATATATTAGATATCCTTTTTCATTATTTTATTAAGTAAAAAGAAATAATATATTTTTTATTATTGATATTATCTGATAAATTATTTCTCAAGTATTTTATTTTAAAAATTGAAAGAAAATTTAAAATAATAAAAAAAGGTATTCATCGAAATAGGTTTCTGAACAAACTAACAAAAAAAAATATAAAAGTTTAATCAAAGATTTAATTTGTTATTAATGAAGAAATAAATCTAAATTTTTAATCAAATTTTTTTTCATTAAAAAATAAATTAAATCATTGAACATTTTATTTAGTTATTTTTTTGTTCTATTAGTTCCTAAACCTGCTTCAAAAACTTTTTTTATTTCTTTTAATTTTTTTTTATTTAAATAATATTATTTATATTATTTTTTACTAAATGTATATTTCTTACTCAAGAAATAATTATCAAAAAATAGCTATATATATAATACCTAAAGAACATGCTTCACTCTATTTAATTTAATAAGAATAATATTAATTAACTTTTAGAGAAAGAATTTAAATAAAATATTTACTCTGTTGCTTGGCTCTTGTTTCACACAGACACCTAATTTTAAATATTCGTCATGATAAATCTTACCTATGTATGGTTCAGCTGGATCATAACACTCTGGTGCTTGATACAAGAAGTTTCCCATCTTTCATTTTTTTTAATTGAATTATTTGAATATTTCTTTAATATGATAAAAATAAATATTAGTGCATACATATTGATTGATAGTATAGCCAGATTTGCTTGTTAGGTTATCTGCCAAACCAAAATCAGCTATTTAATTTATTATTATATTTTATACAAAATCAATCAAGCTTGTTTAGATTTGTTAAAAATTTACAAACAACTGCATTTCCATGGTAGTCAATTAAGATATTATCCATTTTCAGATCATTAACAAGGTAGTTCTTTTAGTGAATGTAGTAGAGGCCTTGAGCTATATCATTAGCGTATTTGATTGCTGATATTTCATTCAGTCTTTTGTTTTAGTTCCTTTCTAAAATTTAGCTGAGAGTTCCTTTTTATTTATTTATAGCATGTAATTTACGTTAAAAACTCTGAATTAAGGGGGGTGGGGGGTTTGATTAATATTATTTATACCTTAACACTCAGTTAGAACTAAGTAACTAAATTGTTATCCTTCAAATTAATCAATAAGACTGACTACATAAGGAGATTCTCTACATTTTTTGAGTATTTCTACTTCTTTTTTCACTTGATTGTTAAGATCTTCTTCAAGGTTTCCATCAAGATCCCTAACTTAAACACCTTTGATGGCATACCTCATGTTAGTTTTCGAATCTTTTGCTAACAGAACTAATCCATAATCTCCATGTCCTAAAAATCTAAAATCAGAGTAGCCTTTATCAGTTAATTCATTTTTCATTGTCTAATAAATGTAAGCAAAAAAAGGCTTTTTTAACTTAGTTTCTTAGATATCAGAAACTTTTGTTAAAATTTAGATAAAATTTGATTAGAACGAAGAGAGGCAGGTTAAATTATTAAATAAATGACTTGGTTTTATTTTTACAGATTAAACCTTTAAGTTTAAATAAAATCTGTATGCAAGTTTTAAGATTTCAAGATTTATAATTACCAATCAATTCATTTAAAAATTTAATATTAATTTAAATATTTTTTACTGACTAACTCAGCCTTATCGAGCATTTAGATACCTTTCATTCTGTACATCTCTTTGATTTTTTTCCTGTTTTGAAGATGCAAAGCAAGCTTATATTTAGCTTCTTAATATCCTACAGGATTTTAGCTGATTTTATCCATTTTTTTAATATTTCAATATTTTTTTTTCTAACAAACTAATTTGAATTAATTAATTATGTGCAAATAAAAAATATTCCTTAAATTTTTAAATGTTTATTTTTTGTTAAAATCTTAATGTAAATTAATTTAATTATCTGTAAAAAGAGAATTAAACAAATCAAAATTTTCTTTCATAAAAATTGTAATAATACGCATTAAATATTAGATCATTTTATAAATAAGATTTAAGTATCCCAACTTGCCATCATCTCAATCGCGAAATTATGCAAAATGACATAATGAATATAATTAGAAGCAGACTAATGCTCATAAAATAAAGCAAGAAAGAAATAAAACAAAATAACAATTAATTGCTTTAGCAATACATAGAAATAAAGAAGCTTAAAACTTAAATTGTACATCATTATTGAAGTAATTGATCATAAATCAGTTTTTCTATTTTAAACTAAATAATATTTATTTGTTTATCATTAAAATTTATTAATATCTTTATAATTGTAAAAATGTAAATTAATGGTAGAATAATTTTGAAGTAGAAAAACTAACATAACATTTATAACATAGATTACTAAATAAATGAAGATTAAATGTGAAACTTTTTGCTAATTTTACTGTAAAAAACAATAAATTGTAAGACTATAAACAGATATAAACATTTTCTTACCTTCTTTCTAAACCAGAACTTATTAAAAGACCTTTTTCTTTTATAAATAAAATTTAAAAACGTTCAAGCTTTATCTTATTTTCAAATATTAAGAGCCAATCAACAAACAAAGTACCTATGTAATTACTTAAATAGATAAAATAATTAAATATGTTAGATAAAATATCTCACTGTTTTTTACTTAGACAACAAAAAGTAGGTAAATAATAAATAGCGTAAGGAAAAAGCCAAATACTTTTCATACTCTTTGAAGTTTCATTAAAAAACGTATTTTTGAATAAAGCATTAGTGGATAACAAAATTATTTCTGATTTGAATAACCAATAACTTGAAAAATAAATAAGCAACATAAGCTAAAAAAGTAAATATTTTTTCACCTTAAACCTTCCTACTGTAAAGTTAGAAACTAGTTATAAATAAGTTGTTTCATTTACTAAAATATATTTTTAGAAAGAGGAATTGTATTTGATGAAACTACTTGCCTATTTGAAGAAAAAATGGGCTATATTTTTCCTATTTCAATCACTCCAGATTCTTTTGGAATTTGATAATCCTTGAATGGTGATCATAAATATCCAAAAAATATTCTGGTCATTCTTTTCATTTTCCTATTCTTAATTTTACTTTTGAATTATTTTTTGTTCAACTTCCTAGACTTGAGAATCATAATATTCGAGCAATGCTCTGGAAAATTATTCATATCTATATATGAATCATTAATATCAAGCATATTTTATCTCACGCTCCTCAATTTGAATTTCCACTGGATATAAGTTGATTTTTTCTAAGTTTTAGTGACTCTATTAGTATAGCAAAAAGCAAAAGAATTCACTGAAACAGCTCAAAAATAATTAATTATAAAATGAATTAATTGATTATGTAATCAACTAAATAAATTTTGCAGAAAAAAATTAATTTATCAGATCTAAAATCCTTTAAGTCTCCTTTAAAAGATTGAGCGAATATTTTACTTTTTCTACTCTCCCCTTTTCTTTTTATTACTTTTTTTAAGTTGTATCTAAAGTTTTTATGCTCTATTTTTGAACTAATGCTGTTGTGAATTTAATTAGTTTTGAATATAAATTAAACTGTATCGAAACAATATCAATGCTAGATTTTTTAAATGTAAATAATAATTTTTGGTTTGTTGTTAAAATATTATAAATTCATTTTATTTCAATTTTAAATTAAATTAGATATAAGTAAAATTGATCATAAGTATTTATTTTTTTTTGATAAGATAGTGAAGTTGTTTTTTATTTGAGTAATTAATTATCTATAAACTTTCTATCTTTTCAGCCAGCTACATTAGGAAGAATAGATAAGTCATTATATTTTTATTAGATATTCTTTATAATAATATTTCAGGAAGAGATGAATGAGTTTTAACATAAGAAATAAAGTTTATTATGTAAGAATTTAAGCAAAAAACACTGATATGGTTTTTTGATTAACAAAATTTATATTCAATTAATAGATTTAGAGAACTATATCTAAAAATCACATAAAAGCCATTAAAATTTCAAAGAAAGTAAATTAATTAAGTTAAAATCAATCAATCAGTCAGTGAGTCAATTAATCAAATAATCATAATACAAAAAGCAAACAAACAATTAGATTTTGTAATTAAATAAATAGTAAAGTAAGTAGCAAGCAATAGCTAGTAATTACTGAGTAAATAAAATAAATGGTGATAATTTTAAGAAAATATTTTAGCAATTGTCTAAAAGGATGAATGCTTTGAAGGTAAAGATTTAAAAGACTCTGATACCTACCTTGTAACAAAAATGGCATTAAATAGGATATTTAGGAGTACCAATAGAATTCAGATGAATTGAATGCCTTAATATAATCATATGAGCAAAACAAAAATAAGTAAAACCTCTCATAAAAATAGATACAATAAAAAAGGTAGGAATATTAAAGATTAATAGGATTAAAGAACAAAATTTAAAATATGATTGAATGCCGGCCAAAGCACTAATAAATTGTAAATATTTATTATAAAATATGTTACTTAGGTGATGAATTAGCATTAGATATTTTTATATTGATCTATAGCGATGTCTTAATAATAATTGTCTCTAGAAATAGGATCTTTTCAATTAAAAGCAACAACCTAAAACCTTCAAAGATTAGCATACCTTGCCTGGAACTTCTTCTAAATAAATTCAGTAAAATTACTATGATCTATAAAAAGATTGAGAAGAAATGGTTGCTCAGTGATTGAAAAAGTACTAAAGGAATAGTGATATAAATAGGAGAATAATTAGAAGAACACATCGAAGTTTCAGATGAAATTGAAGATAATGTTGATAAAGGAACCTAAAAATTTTAACAGCAACAAGTAAAATGAAAAATTTAATTCAAAAAGTAAAAAAAACATGGCTATTTTAATTGGCATTTTTGTTGAAATAGCTGTACTGCTGCTTATCATTATTAATATTAATTGATCTATCTTAAACCTAATATTAAGAAACTGATTGAAATATCTATTAAATTGCACATATTTATATATATATATGTAAGTAAGTAGAAAACTCTCATATTTATAATTAATATAATTTCTACCTTAAACCTAATATTAAGAAACTGATAGAAATATCTATTAAATTGCACATATAAATATGTAAGTAAGTAGAAAACTCTCATATTTATAATTAAATGTAAGATTTAATAGTATTTACTATAAAAATAGTTTATTAATTTTAACTATATATATCAATTTATAGCACTTGCAAATATTAATTAACAAATAATTAATTTTTTTTAAAGAATATTAATAAATAAATAAAATTGAATAAATCAACTTTTTAATCAATCAATTTATTGATTTCAAATTGCAATTTTTATATTTCTTCAATAAAAAAATGTAAATTAAATAGAAATGAATTTCATCAATCTATATTCATACTCTTTTTGGTTGTATACAAACATTTATTTATTTATCCTTCGCAAAGATATCTATGAAACATTCAAATTATTTTTTATTATATTTTAGTCTTCCATAGGTTTAATAAATAATATGCCATCCATTCTAATATAAATTATTTTTTGTTCATCTTTAAATTTTTAACTCTCTAAATCTATAAATTTAGTTAATGAAAAACATAATAATTGCTTTTTGAAATTCTTACATACTACTTTATTTCTTATATTAAAAAATATTCGTCATTTCCTTAAATATTATTATAAAGTATATTTGATAAAAATAAAAAGACTAATCTATTATTTATAATGTAGCTGAAAAGATAGCTAGTTTTTGATAATGAATTACTCAAACAAAAAACAATTTCACTACCTTATGAAAAAAAAATATACTTATGATCAATTATATTTATATTTAATTTAATTTAAAATTGAAATGTATTAATTTTATAATGTTGATATTATTTCAATACAGTTTAATTTTTATTCAAAATTCATTAAATTTATAACAGCATTTGTTCAATAATAGAGCATAAAAATTTTAGATGCAACTTTATAAAAGTAATAGATAGAAAAGGGGAGTGTGGAAAAAGCAAAATATTAGCTCAATATTTTAAAGGAGATTTAAAGGATAAACATTAAAATTATTAAATATACAATAACCCTTAGTAAACCAAAAAAGTAAAATTACATTTAATAGAAGAGTAGTTTAATAAAGAAATACCCATATGAAAATGTTGATAATTAACATCAATAATATTCTTATATGAAGACCTACATAATTTCTTGAATAGAGATTAGTCATATGAAAGGAATAGTTAATTTTAAAAAACATTTTAAAGCAATTAAATTATAATTTAAATTAAATATAAACTATTAGACCTACTAAAATTAGAAAAAACCTACTTCTAATTACTTTTTTTATCAAAATACATATATATATATATCTACCAATAAAGGTAAAAAAAAAAGAAAAAGAAACAATTTCTATTTTTTAAAGACATTTAATCATAGCAAAGCAGGAAAATTTAGATTTTTTTCAATATTCTATTAGCTATCTATATGCTATTTTGATATAGATATAGGCCATTTCTTGTAATAAAAATAATACTCAGAGGATTGAAGGTTTCATAAATAAATTATGCTAAAATAGCTAGCTGTGCATATAATAAAATCAAAGCTCTTATAATTAAATAATTCAAGTTAAAAAATGCTTTTTTATAGGTTATTTACCATATTCAAAAAAAGACATAAAATTGTTCAATATTATTAATATGATTGTATTTTATGGATATTTCAATAAAAGATACAGTTATTTTTAACTAACTTCTAGCTTTAGATGGTGCGAAAATTGTAATATCTATTTATAGTCTTACAATTTATTGTTTTTTACAGCAAAATTATCGAAAAATTTTACATCTAATCTTCATTTATTTAGTTATCTATGTTATAAATTATATATTAGTTTTTCTACTTTAAAATTATTGTGCTATTAATTAATATTTTTACTATTATGAAAATATTAATAAATTTTAATGATAAATAAATATTATTTAGTTTAAAATAAAAAACTAGTTTTATGGTCAATTACTTCAATAATGATGTACAATTTAAGTTCTAAGATTTTTTACTTTTATGTATTACTAAAGCTATGAATTGTTATTTTGTTTTCTTTCTTGATTTATTTTACGCGTGCGTTAGTATGCTAATGATATTCATTATGTCATTTTGCATAATTTTGTGATTGAGATGATGACAAGTTAGGATACTTAAATCTTATTTATAAAATGATCTAAAATTTAATGCGTATTATTACAATTTTTATGAAAGAAAATTTTGATTTAGTAAATATTCTTTTCCAGATAATTAAATTAATTTACATCAGATTTTAACAAAAAATAAACATTTAAAAACTTAAGGAATATTGTTTATTCGCATATAATTAATTAATTAAAATTAATTTGTTAGAAAAAAAGATATTGAGATATTTTAAAAAAATGGATATAATCAGCTAAAATACTGTAGAATCTTAAGAAGCTAAATATAAGCTTACTTTGCATCTTTAAAACAGGAAAAAAGTCAAAGAGATGTACAAAATGAGGGGTGTCTAAATGCTCGATAAACCTGAGTTAGTCAGTAAAAAACATTTAATTAATATTAATTTTTTAATAATAGATTGGTAATTATAAATATTGAAATATTAAAACTTGCATGCAGATATAATTAAATCTTAAAGGTTGAATCTGTAAAAATAAAACCAAGCCATTTATTTAATAATTTACC